ATAATTGCAAAACCTCAAAGTCAGAAAAGCCAAAAAGTAATATCATTAAAACGCAAACTCAGTTAGTAATGAGAAAGAATGAAGTTTCCAACTGGTTAGGCACCCCTCTCCAATCTGTAACCCCCATTACTCTGGTCTATCTTCAAACTCGTACTTCGTGTTGCATTACTTTGCCTACCAAAAGCAGCAGAGATGTTTCCTTTCCAGTCCAGTAATTGAAGGACTCAGACAAGACATTTTAAAGGTCCTTCTGACCAGCTGCATTGTTCTGGATAACTGGTTTCCCAGGTAATTTCCAGAGTAATTGTGTCCATGCCTGGAAAAATTCACTGTCATAAGATGTCACAGTCAAACTGGAAATTGAAAATTCATTAAGTGCAGTAATTGAAACTCAACTAGCTCAGCTCAAGAGCTCTTCGTACAGAAAGTTACTGCCTTACACTGCTAGATGCACACGTCTTTCCATCAATAATTCATGCTTTGAGCATGCCCATTTTATACAATCATCTAACACAGACTAGCTTTTCATTCAAAAAAGGCAACTCTTACCAGACTGAGTATCTACTGAGTATCTAGCTCTTAGCAATAGGCTTCTCTTGTACTGGTTTATTGTAGGAAAACATCAGTTCATCATCACTGGGTCAACCCACCGCAGATGTATTTCTTTAGTGCTGTAGTTTGAGCTTTGCTACTTCATAGTATGAAAAAGTGGATTCTCCAAAATGACAGTTCTTCAATTGCTACTTTTTCAACTATTTTTTATTACCCTCTGATTGCCATCTTTCCAATGTCGGCAGGATCATGAGAAGCCTCACATTTCCATTATTCACTGGACAAGTTAACAGATTATTCACTGACAGAACAAGGGGAAATGGCTTTAAACTGGAAGAGGGGAGGTTTAGATTAGAGATTAGGAAGAAATTCTTCACTGTGAGGGTGGTGAGACACTGGAACAGGCTGCCCAGAGAAGTTGTGGATGGCCCCCTCCCTGGAAGTGTTTAAGGCCAGGTTGGATGAGGCTTTGAGCAACCTGGTCTAGTGGAAGGTGTCCCTGCTGCTGGCAGGGGGGTTGGAACTGGATGATCTTTAAGGTCCCTTCCAACCCAACCCATTCTATGATTCTATAACATCATAGCTTCCTCAGGACTAAACTCTTCATCATAAACAAGAGCAGCAGGGAGAAACGGCGATTTTGTTTTGTTCTCAACTCATTTGCTACCATTGCTATTCAAAGCTTACAAGACAAAAGAGTTCAAACAACCCAAAAACCAAAACCCAACCAATTCTAAGTAGTCCAGTGACTTAACAACTGCAGTTTCTAAATGGATTTTTAAGATTCAGAAATACACTTTAAAACTAAATGCCCAATGCAGATCATTCTTAAGGCCAGAGCATGACCTCTAGGTGGTGCTGACATTCTGCTATTCCATGAAGTTAAGTCATACACCAGTTTATTAAACTATAATCTGGACAATTTCCCTTTGACAGTTACCTTCAGGCACATGGACTGCAAGTTTAGCAGTTAAATTTCTGCAAATTTCTTACCGTAATACGGTGGTTTTAAATCTATAACCATAAAGAATAATTCAATTCCCTCTTCAGTAAAGGGGCTGCAGCAAGCGTGTGGCAAATGAAAACGTGCAAGACAGCACGTAGTAAGACAGAGCATCCAAGTGCTTTCATTCAGGTCTCAATGGGCTCTGTAAAATTTGTATGGAAATAATAAGAAGATAAAATGTTGAAAGCTAAACTGCAGGGATGCATGTGAGAAAACAGATGAACCAGAAATGGTGTTTTCAGCTCCTTTAAATAAGTTTTGAGTTGCAGCCTGTAATTGCATTTAATTCTGACATTTATTACTAGGAAGAATAAGCTGTATTGCTGTACGTGGATTAGTATCTAACTGGGTATACTAGACCTTCCCGAAACATCAATTCCATACTGCTGCAATTAAGCTGCTTTTGCAGCGTAGTGATGTTATGATAACACTGAAAATGTCTGATTATTAAATAGAGATGGGCTACCAAAGGTACAATTATTTACATATTTCATACCAACTCTGGCCTGTGGTGCAACACAAAACAGAAAGCTTCAAGAGACTCTAAAAGTTGTACGTTATAGAGTAAAACATTGGGGGCAATAGCACGCATGTTTTGATACCGGTGTAACTGCAGATGTTTACATACCTGGAGTGATTCACAGTCGTAAGGTGTCGCAGTCAAACTGGAATTGGAGTAACTGTGTACAGCCAATAAAGTATGTCAATTCCCGCTCTTCATCTGTAGCTTGCATGCTGTTGAGACAGAGCGACTAACTGTGCCACTTGGAAAGGAAGAATGGACCTGAGAAATGCAGTCACTCACGGGTGATGATATCATACTGCACAGATCGTGAGGTGCTTCCAGAGGTCATGTAGGTGCTGTTATTTCAGGAATTATGTTATTTGAGACAGAACCTTTGTTACGCAACAGTATAAAGCCAGAAAAAAATATGCGTGTTACATTTTGTTCTCCTCTTGGGTTTTTTTGTGTTTGGTTTTTTTTCCCTCCTGGCCTTTCACAGCCTGAGTGTTTCCAAATGATTAACCTGACATTAATATGCATCATCTCTTCCCTTCCATTGATTAAAAAGAAACCTGATCAACTTCCCTTGCATAACATGTAAAAATTCCACAGAAGAAACAGGGAACAGTAAAAGAAAACCAGCTCCTTCTGTTTGATTTCTTTCTTAGGCTACACAACTTGATAAGATTTGAAGAATTAAAAAGACATTCTAGCTGGATAAAATATAATCTGACCTCTTATATGCTAAAAAGGAATATATATTGTTGTGATAAAATATTTAACATGATGCAAGGAAACTCAGACAGATGTTAAGTTACCCAAACTGATTTATTGACAATTTAAATGTGACATATTTACAGCACTGTTTCTAAAATAATTTAACAATTTTCATAGATTTATAAAAGTACTGATAAATAGGAGACCCTGACAATTACCAACCACAAATATTTCCCTATGCTACTGAACTACAATAGTAGTTCTTTTCTTTTTCCTCTTTTTATAAGTCCCATAATGGAGCTGCTTTACCTCCACCCAATGTTGTAAAATAGCCAATACCAAAATATAGTAAAATGAACATGCAGTGTGAAAGCTGTACCAGAGAAGTGATTTCAGATGTTAGATTACAGTAAAAATATTTCAATGCAAAGTGTCTTCCACACAGAATGTACTTGTGAAAAAATAAGCTTTTAAAGAACTATTGTTTTATCTTTATAGAAGTTAAAGCCTACAATACTAGTTCAGACATTTACAGTAACTTCCAATTCTGTGCTAGTTTTCACATATACTTAAGAGTCAAACAAAACCAGTAATTTACAAACACCACTGTCATAAGACAGTGGTTAGTTAGCTTATGGATAAAAAAAAACCCAACAAAACGAAGGTGCTGATATAATTTAAGCTTTTGAAATTAAGATTATATTTCATTCTTATATGACACCAATTATTCCATCCTTGGATCAACAAATTGTGGTCAAGCCATCCGTATCTCTCAAGCAGGAAGTCAGTTTGGAAGTTGGAGAGAAGATGGACTTGTATGATATGTATCTTAGGTTCCAGTAGACAAAAATAATAATTAAAAAAAAAAGTATCACAAAGCTGGACAATCTCAATCACAATAAGCAGCAGCACGAGATATTTGTGGGGTCTTGATTAAAGCAAACATTTTTTCAACAACAATGAAAAGTACACACAATCTAATCCAATACTTGAAATGTAAAGGTTCTTTTCTTTCCATTTGCATCACTGAAGCCCCGTAACACAGTGTACACAAAGAACAAATACTCTTTTTTAAAAAAACAAACCCATATATTGCACAGCTAGTAGGTGCAATACCAGAACACTGGTATCCCTAGCATAAGTTTTCTATTTTAAATAGCTGTTTCCAACTATGCTATTCAGAACAACTCCAAGCCAACATTCAAAACCATTAAGAATGGTTTGTGTACATACCTAATCCAAAAGTGTTTCAACAATGTGAGAAAAAACCACAGGCACTTAAGATTATTAGTGCACCAAAAAGTTATAGGCCACAATTGCATGACTACGAACAGTTCAGTACCAATAATGACAAAACCAAACGAGGTCTTCCACTGATGAAATCTAGAAACAAGAACTGTTCACAAAGCACAGATAAGAAAACCATTCTCAAAACAGTAATCAAACTAGACATTTAAGAAAAATAATTGCTGCCAAGCCTAATGTAACACAATAGAAACCCTACTTCAAAAGATCTAAAGTGTCCAAATTCAAAAATCCAATTTTTCTTCTCCCCCCTCCCTCCAAAACACCATTACATGCAGTCCATTAAAATCCAAATGTGCAAAAAAGTTATAACCCACCTTTAGGAGTGCATCAAAAATAGGCTGACTATTCAAAATATTATTTTAGTGGAAATTTTACAGCACCATAATTAGAATTCCAAGGGAATACAGAATTCTTGTTCTGATAACAAATCAGTTGACACTGTTGATCCTAAAGAACAGAAGAAACATTTTTGTGCATTTCCTGGTATCTGCAAGTCATGGAGAGAAAGAACTCTCATCTATGCCTAAAATCTTACTCTAGTTCAAACCAAAATTAAGTAACCACATTTGTTGGCAATAAGATCTCCACAATATAGCATTAGCTGTAAATTTAGTGCATGTGCCGATTAGGAATGAAAAGTTGCTGGTACCTTGCTTACTTGCAGAAGTACTTTTGTTGTTTATGTCTTTTTTTTTATTTTTTTATTTTTTCTTTTAAATTGTGCAGTTTTGGCCCCTCCCTAGTAAGTGATTTACTATTAGGCTTTGTGAAAAAGCATAAGGTTCATTTCTGACCCTCAGCTGAAAGGCAATATACAAACACATTATATATACACACATGTGTGCACAGAAACAAACACACACACACACATATATATATATATATAAAAAAAAAAAAAAATCAGTGTTCCGGTTTTTTTGTTCTCATTTCCTATAATTTTCTTTGGTTAAAAGTCCGAGCAAGGAAATTAGAGGACCGAACAAATGGATCATTCTCCAAACACTTCCATCACTACACATCGCTAACTGGAAGGCTTGCATCATCCAGATCCACAAGGCCAGGATCCTGTTCCTGAGTGCCATTTTTATTTTCGGGTTCCAATAGGCCCCATTCAGTCACTTTGGAAGCTGATTCTCTTGGAGCGACAACCTGGATCTTGTAGCTCCCTGGCTTGGCCTTGGTAAAAGATTCGTGAAATCCTCGCTTCTCCAAGGCAGGGTATTTGGCGTGAGGGTTTGGGACCAGAGGGCTGCCGTGAGCGGCTGCGGAATGTGAGGTGGCTGAGACTGGGACGGCAGAACGGAGAGCATGGTTGGGTTCGGAAGAAGACTCGGTATGCTCCTGGAAAAGAAGAGCACGTGTCAGATGAAGTCATCGACATCTTGGTGGAAAGATGCAGTTTCAGATTTTAATCTTAGGGGAAAAAAAAACCCAAAACACCAAGACAGAAAATACACAAAGCGAAGCATCGGCCACAGCAGCAGCAGGAGGCAGGTGCTTTCTCAAGGCAGTGTATTATTAAATGTGAGCTTACAGCAGGATGTGACAGCAACATCAGTTTCTTCCTTGGAAGAAATTAAATTTCTCAAATCAAGCTCAGCAGCTCTTTAGACTTATAGTCCAGCAAATTGAGGCTTCTCATTTTACTAAGATGTTAAGTAACCTTTTGAAGATACACACTTCAAAGGCCATTGAAAGTGACATCTTTCCAAGAGAAAAATGTATTCAAACATATTGTGGATGCCCCCTCCCTGGAAGTGTTCAAGGCCAGGTTGGATGAGGCTTTGAGCAACCTGGTCTAGTGGAAGGTGTCCCTGCTGATGGCAGGGGGGTTGGAACTGGATGAGCTTTAAGGTCCCTTCCAACCCAAACCATTCTATGATTCTGTATTCATATACATCAGGCACTCATATCCTAAATCCTGAAGTAACACACATCGTACTGTTCCTTCTTCTTGGGGTACCAATCTCCCCAATTTGTTCCAGGGACCAAACAAAAACAGTAACTATTTTTTGCTACCAAGACTGTATAACAATTTCCAAAGTTAATGGACTTGAACAGAATCCGATCTTTAAGATATTCCTTTTAATTATCAAGTCATTTTCTTGCATTTATTATTGTTCACTGCCACTCTGTTGGCCTTTATATAACTACTGGACTGATACTGTTAAAATAATCTTCCACCATTTACTTACTGATAGAAACCAGTTCTCAGACTACCTAGGAAGGATTTAGATGTCTAAAGCACAGGCACAAAGTGCCATTTTAGATGTCCCAGGATACCCTGCCTGACCTACAGAACAGAAAAATTCCTCAGACCCTGCATTGTATCTATCAGTCCCATAAGGATGTCTCAGATACCCAGGGATATCCACAATAGTGCTGGACACAGCGTGAAATGATCTGATGAGAATTAGGTGCGATGATGCAGGGAACACTCCGCTCCGCACGCGTTAGGAGCTGCAGCTGCCGCCGCTTCTGCCATCGCCGCTGTTAGTACATCAGCTACAGAAATCTGCGAACCCACGTGAGTACACGAGTCACATTTCAAGCACATTCGTTAGCAAAAAACAAAAACCATCACAGATATGTGTGTCCAAGATGCAAATATACATCCTAAAATCAAATACTTATTTTTTCATGGCAGTTTTGCAAGGTTCTTTTAGAATGCTATGACATGAATTCATAAATTTAATCATAATGGATTCGGCCAAATACTATTACATTTCTTTTTATAAATTAACTAATATTATTGGGTGAAGGAGCTGTGCAATTTTTTTTGGACTTCAGTTTTGTGTTCAATTTCAGTGATGTATTTCACATCATCTACATTGCCATATTTCATATCTGGCTTGATACTTTAAGAAATACATTTGCTTGATACTCTAAGAAATACATTTGCTTTAGAAGAACAGATGATTCCTTGATTTACATACTACTTCTTAATAATTTTTGTTCAACAAATAGGACAAAAGGGATATTAGGACAAGATCTCTCTAATAAACTTTTTGCTAAATTGAACTGAAGGATACTCAAGATTTTACTACCCACACTGACTGTAATTTCACAGTTAGGAGACTACACTGCTGTATTATTCCTCAAGTGTACTGCTTTGAACAGTGTACCAATTATACATTATAATGCCTCTATGTTTGAACTAATAATTTCATGCAGAGACTTATAAGCCATGCAAATCAGGCTACAATATTATCCTTCCAATTACTGGAGTTACGACGTGCAATGGTTTGTGTGCACGCATCTGTATTAGTTTGTGGGTAGCTTAAGTTTAATTTTGCTTTTGCATAGTTTCAAAAAATGTAAAGTAAAATGGAAATATGAACTCTCATGCAAATTAATTTCAGTATTTTCCTTTTAAAATGGCATCCCATAACTTATGTTTAAATATACAATATGCTTTGAAGTACAAATACATGTTTTTGCCATTTTTAATTTCCAATTATTTTTAAAAGTAACAAAAAACAGTGCAAACCTGTAAGTGAATGATTTATGAGTTAGTTTTCAGTAGTGGTAATGACAACAGGTAGCATTATTTTTAGTTTGTTTTTTTTTTTTATAGTGCAAATTAGTCTCTAGTCCTAGCCCTCTGTGAAGGAGGCAAGTTTACATGAGAGCCCACATACGTGCTGCATTCACCAGTTCTTGATGTATACCTCTGTATACAAGGATTCGACAGCCTTCTGGCCTGCCGCATCTGGAACACAGTGCAAAGCTAAGATTAGAGTAACCTGTACTTGGGGAAAAGAAGAGAAAAGATGGAAAAAGAAAGAAATGAAGCAGACAGTAATAGCTAGATTGCTCAGTTAGCCCCACCAAAGAAAAGGCATACACATAGAAAAGTTATCTGTATATTTTCATTCCCCCAAAAAGAAACAGAATTTATGATAGGAAGTTTTATTTAAAAGCATGAAGCAGCTCCTGGCTGCAAAAAAAATAATTGAGAGTTTAGACTGAGTTAACAAAAACAAAATACCAATGCAAATATGTAATCAAAAGCCAGATTTCAATTATTAGATTTCAGATGATGGGGGTAATGATATATTCAGCTTATTATCCCATAGCCAGAAAGTGAAAACCATAGCTTGCAACATCTGAACTGGAAAGTATTCCATTCGTTACGTCTGGACATACTTGGAGACACTGTGACACTGCAGCAACCTTCACTCTTCACAAGCTGATGTCATTGGTACTGAACATCTAAGACAGTGTAAACTGTATGTATGTATGTATGAAAAAAGTGTGTATGAAAGGTTGTCACCCACATGGCTTCATAAATATTCAGACTTGTCACAGTGCCTCAGTTCAGGAATGCTAGATGGTGTTCACACTACGTTCCCAACAGCAAACACTAATTCATGCGAGCAGAGATCTCTTAAAGAAGTTACTTGAAATCTGAATCTGTATCTGCATATACAATAAACTATCAACAACAGAGAACGACAATTTAGTAGTGAGAGTTGTTAAAAACAAATTAGGATATTGTCATCTGACTGCAAAATTCAGCAATTGGCAGAAAAACCTCGCAGGAATTAGAAAGTTTCAATTTTACTTCCACACTAGTGACAAAGATCACACTGAACTCAGAAGAACGTTTCTAGGTTAGCACTTGCACTATCTACATGTTCAAGGCAATACAATGCACATAAAGTTACATACACGTAAGACTAAGAGAAGTGCTCAATTAAAACCACAAAATATTTTATGCCAGTCTGTATGAAAGTTCATGCAAAGATGCCACGTTACTACAGTACAGGATAGAGGACAGGCGAAAGGAAAAAAAAACAACTGGAACTTTATGTGCACAAATGAACATCAATTAATCACATTTTCTCTGAGGTTCAGAATAACATACAGAAGCTGCTGATCTTCCAGGTCCCCGCTGTGCTACAATGGCCCCAGAAATTGCTTTTATCCAACTGTGCATGTCTTCTGGACTGTCCGCCTGGATCAAACAACATGCATTATATTTAACATCATCAACTCTCGAGTTTCCCACTGACATAACCATCTGCATTAAAATCACAGCCTTACCCTGCTTTAGTGATTTTAAGCCATGGGGACTTCTTAACCCAGACACTTCTTAAAAATCTTACCTTGCATTTACCATTATATGTATATAGTTACATAAAATAATCAGCACTGAACAAGTATTTTTATACTATTTGCATTGCCTAGAATCACATTTTTACTTTCAGTGAACAACAAAAAAAATTAAAGCACCCACAGAAATTCCTAGAGGAGATCTGCTGACCCCTCTTAGCAGACTTTGGTCAATGACACAACTTCTGTAGTTTTCAGTCACTGCTGCATTTTATTTCTATGAGGTATGATCTAGTGGAAGGATGTCCCTGATGATGGCAGGGGGGTTGGAACTGGATGAGCTTTAAGGTCTCTTCCAACCCAAACCAGTCTGTGATTTACTGAAAAGTATTCTGAAGAGTTACAAAAAAAATCAGTGTCTGTTGGGGGTTACCTATACATATACTTAGAACAACAATCAAAGTATGTGATTTCTATTATACCCAAACATTTGGAAGGTGCCATGGCAAAGATGCACTGAATAAAGTGCATATGGATACGTACTGCCAAGTAGGTATTTTAACATGGCACCTTCAATCTGAGAACTCAAATAACTATACATAAAAATTCAGTACTTCAAAATAAGAGATTTAAAATATTGAATTGAGCCTACAGAATCTGAAGATCTGAACGCCAACAAAATCACATTAGGATTTATTGTTGATTGCTTTAATACACTACCAGCATAACACCTGCTGTGGAATGTTTCTTATATGCATCTTTCTGAAACATAATGAAGACCATTATTCCCTCTGAAAATTATGGCATAGTTAAACACAACTTAAGAAGCAAAGCAGCATCTTTCTTTGCTTTGACTAAGGCAGTCTCCTGGTTCTACCCAAAGTTTAAAAAATAATTTACCTGTACATAAAAGGTTCGAGAAGTTGTTACAATTTCAAAGAGATTGTCTCTCATCATTATATCGCTGTAAATGAAACACACAATAACACTTCAACAGCAAGCATAACTTTCTATTTTAAGAAGACTCTAGGAAGTGCAGAGAACCAGAACATTTGTTGTTTGAAGACCTTTGCATTTCTTTATCACTCTACTGTTAGCTTTTTGGCAAATAACAAGTAGAAAAAGAAAACCAGCATCTCTTACTCATTTTATTCCCAAGACATTTTAGTTTATCAGTGGCCTGTGTGCTACTATACATATTTTTAATTGGAACATTCTAACCCATTTCATGTTAAGTTTAAAAATATTTTTGTTCCAAACGAATTTCTGTAAAGTTTCACATTTGTATTTTGTTACATGTTCACAAAGTATTAGTTTGAAGCAGTAGCTTGTTAAAAAAAAACCCAACCCTACTACAAAGGCAATTAATTCCTTAGTATATTGTTGTTTGGTGGGAGGGAAATGGCAGAACAAAGAGTTCTCATCTAAAGTGTTCTCATCTAAATGCAGACATTTAACATAAGGTAATGTCCTCTAAAGGTTTAGAGATTATATAAGGAGAAGAGAGGCTCCTAAAATTGCTGCCTCGAATCAGACAGCATCCGTGCATCTCTAACTCATGACTCCGTGATACTCCTTTGTTCCACCCTTGTCCAGTGCATTTACACTCAATTGAATGTCACAAATTTGAAACACACTAACGCAGAACCCTCAAAACCAGCCTTATGCACAAAACTACTTGCTGTCCTGTAAGCAGAGAGTACCACACACACACACACACATCAGCTGAGGTTATTAAAAGTTCTCTGCTGTATCCAGTGAGCAGTCTAGCCATGAGAAAGCAGCGTACCACATCCCACGTAATGGCATCAGCGCTGCTCTCCTCACCTTTGTTTGCATTCCTGAACTTTATGGACCTCCTTGAGTGGTATAACCCTGAGAGGTTCCTTTTCCTGGAGGGGGGAAAAAAAAAAAAAAGGGCAAAAATATTTCAGGAGAGTATATCTAATGATTAGAATATAGTCAGAAAGTCAGTTGACAGCAGCAGACTTACATAAATGAGACTTTCAAAGTAGTCACTTATGCAAAAGGTGATGTCATCCGAAATTTAATTTGCTTTTCTAAGCATTACACCAACCATGGCACTTGCAATGAAGAGGAGGCAAAATCAAGAGGTAAAAAAACCCCAAAAACATTCATTCACCTTACCATACTGGAGACAGCCACCCCTCTCCCTGCTCCTAACCAGATCAGAAAATTCAGTCTGGCCTCAAGCAGCTTATTTCAGTAAGACTGTGATTATACTCATTTGCTATGAAATGCTACAGTACAAGATGCTTTGTTAATTGTACTGCATGACATGGCTTTAAACGACATTAATTGTATCCTATATGCAATACAATTTGAAATAACACAAAGAAATCCATCGTACCAAAGCCTGTACAAGAGCAAGTTTTCTTAAAGCACATGAAAATTCGGTTACCCTAACAAAAATCAGTGTTGCAATTCTGTCAAAGTTTCACACAACAGGGGAAAAAAAAAAGTGAGAACATTCAAAGAGAAATACTTTCACTTTTTGCCAGGACAATGTAATATCATACATACTATTACCTTCCTGTGGTTGTTGCAGTAAAACACAAACAAACAACTTATTTTACCTCCTCATGTGTTTTCTTTAAACAATGTTACAATGGACTACTTCAGTCGGCTTCAGCTTATAGAAAAAGCAAAAGCTGACAGCTCTGGAATGATTACTTTCTCTCTACAATTTCTATTACACACACTTAAGAGATTTATGTTGTTATAGCAAACAGCAAATGTGACCTAAATATAACCATCCTCAAATGACAGTTTTCATTAGATCACTCATCTCTATAACAGATCAAATTTAAAAGTTTAGAACTCGATGTTTTCAGTTGTTTTACCCCTCTTCCCTCCCCCTCTCTGCTCTTCCTCAGTTCACTCATTCATTACAACACTGTTTTCAAAGTAATACATTGAATGTGAACTGCAAGATCATCCCTGGAACACAGACCCCTGTCGTAGGGAAGACCTCAGCTCAGAAATTATCAGTTTCCGAGCCTGATGTTGCCTGTATTCCACTACACTCCACCTGAAGACTGACATGGGCTCTTCTTCGGACTGAAAAGAAGAGATCATTAAGGGGGGGAAGAGAGGATGGACATGACTTTTAGTGTCATCAGACATTTCTACCAGCTTTTTAGTATACTCTCTCACAGTACAATTCTTCACTAAGTTAGAATTTACTTGTGAGCAATCTGCACTCACATTCTATTTTAAAATAGAGGGTTTATTACAGGCAACGTGTCAGAATTGTGTTATGCTGACAGTTTACTGCATCCAGTTCTGGAGCCCCCATCACAAGAGAGACATGGAGCAGCTGGAACAAGTCCAGAGGAGGCCACCAGGATGATCTGAGGGCTGGAGCACCTCTCCTATGAGGACAAGCTGAGAGAGTTGGGGCTGTTCAGCCTGGAGAAGAGAAGGCTCCGGGGAGATCTTATAGCGGCCTCCCAGTACCTGAAGGGGCTCCAGGAAAGCTGGGGAGGGACTTTTCATAAGGGCAGTTAATGACAAAACAAGGGGAAATGGGTTTACGCTGAAAGAGGGGAGGTTTAGATGAGATATTAGGAAGAAGTTCTTCACTGTGAGGGTGGTCAGACACTGGAACAGGTTGCCCAAGGAAGTTGTGGATGCCCCCTCCCTGGAAGTGTTGAAGGCCAGGCTGGATGAGGCTTTGAGCAACCTGGTCTAGTGGAAGGTGTCCCTGCTGATGGCAGGGGGGTTGGAACTGGATGAGCTTTAAGGTCCCTTCCAATCCAAACCATTCTATGATTCTATGATTTAACAAAGACGATGATGCAAGAACAAACTCTGCTCATGCTGTATACTCCCTCATTCAAAGAAAAGCGAAAGTTCTCTTCAAAAACAGCCTCTAATTTGGCTTCTTGACATTTTGCATCTTACGGTTGGCCTGCAAACTCAATTTTCCTTGATTTATAATACTCTACAACTCAGACTTTATGCCTCATGTACAGATGTTCCCCTGTTTACTAAGTGTGGGATTCCTTTTTGGGAGAAACAGACCATCTCCAGTACCAGCCACTTTATTTTTAAAAGGAGCCTGAAGGCACTTAGCATTTAGTCAAAACTGGTCAAAAGGTTCAAGAGCAATGAGTGGGGAAGAAATGATCATGAAACCAAAACAAACTCTAAGTGTTCCATCTGAACAGCAGAGCTCTTTGCCTGTCTTGGCTGCCCTGGTGAAAGAAGTGTGGGAGGAAAGATCCCATCATTTGTACGATAAAACATCCCATAATCCTCACTTCAAATTAAGAATTGCAAGATGACAGTTTTGCCTCTCCACATAATGATCAGCTGTTTCACAAACACAATTACACGGGAGTACAATGTGACATAAGATACTAATCCAAAAATGAGGGTGATTGTAGAATATGTCCTGTTACTCTTCTCCAGTGTCCTACTGAAAGGTTCCCAAATAGAAGACTGAAGTCTGACTTAACAGCCACCCTATCAATTTTTTGTTCTTCCTGATCAAGTAAAGTTCTCATAGTACAGACCTAAGAGTTGCACAATCAGCACAGCACATTTTTCAAATACAAATCTGTTTCTTTAGATTTTCTGGCAACTACCACTGGAAAACAACACACATTTGGAAACTTACCAGTTCAGACTTGAAATATCCTATTGTGTTTTCATCTAATTGAAAGTATCTTCTCTTCCAGTTCTTCATCTGTTAAAAGAAAATAAGTAAATATTCATATATTTTCTATTTAAAATACAAATATAGTATTCATATATTTATAATTCCAGTCTATATTTCTACTATATGACATTGTATAATATCCATTTCTTTATAATTATTCATCTCTACTATTTATAATTTTTATATCTTACACACTTTTATTTCTGTGCTGTGTATATGTACATAGTGCCCTCAAAATAATTCTGCAAGACTGCTAAATTTTTTTAAAAACTGAAAAAATTATAAATTCTGCAAGCCACTATCTTCTACCACGAGCATTTTTCAACAATCTCCACTGAAACTGCAGCAACTCAGCAGCACAAATACCCCATAAGAAATGTTAAAAGACAGTACATTAAAGGTTTCTAGTTTAGTTTTAAGTAAAAAAGGCACATTACAAAAAGAAAAAGTTTCATAATCCAAGATAAATGGAGTCTGAGACTCAGGAAGCATGCTTATCTTTCCTAATCTGAACTATCTGTTCCTTCTTTTAGGAAGGCAGCATGTGAATAGTTCCACTGGTGCTCAGCAGGCTGACGACTTGTCCAATTCTTCCTCTGAACTGAGAAATTTGCTTTTTCTAAACATTTTAGTGATTGAAAAAACATGCAGACATTAATTGAGATGCTTCTAGTAAGCGAAATAAGGATCTCTACAGAACAGAGGAATTCCTAGTTGCGTGCACCCACCATAATGTGAAAGTCTGTGCACACATCTCTCCCAAACATCTCCAACAACTTAACACTGAAGAAAGTCATGAAAATAACTAACACAGACATAAATTACATGCTACTAGAGAGTAATTTTTATCTTTAGTTATCCACAATATTGTCAGTAGTGTTAAAGTTACTGGTAATTATGTCTTTTCTTTTTTAATTGTATACTTGATAAGTACAACTACCAGCTTAGGATTTGTTCTCAATTAGTGAAAGACACTGATCACAAATACTTACCACTGCTCCTTGTTTGACACAGTAGCCAGCTTTGATAATAGCATTATCTGGGGGATGCTTAGCAGTAAAATAAGGAAGGTGACTTTGTGACCGTTTCAAATAATTCCTATCACCCCCTTCACTGCCCTCACTGATTTCTTCTTTCTAGAAAAAAGCAGGAAAGTTCAGAATACTCTCAGTTTTTTCTAAAGGTCAAAGAATAACTATACTACTTGTAACAGAAAACAATTGCATCATCCCATGCTCACAAATCCATTTACAATTTGTTTGAGAGGATCAAATATTTCAACTGACTCCTAGAGACAACTAATGAGACTCTCCAGGGCTCTGGTTCAATACCTGCAAGTTCCATTTAGAAACTACATGAAGAAAGTGCTGAATATTCTCAAACAATATTGACAGACACTCAATGAAGAATATTAGTCTTGTACAATTTCTTACTCTCCCTACAGTCTTGTATAATTCTCTATAATCTTGTATAAAGGGAATAACATCCTCAAAACAAAAAAGCCTGTCAGTATCCATAAAAGGTGCACATCAAAGTGTAAGTCCTCTGAGCAGGGCGAGAGGCTGGCAGCTATATTGTGATACAGAACCTATTCTCACCTGTCAAACAACGAAGATTCCCCTATCAAACAGGACCTCACTTGTCTGAAGTGTATTACCTGGGTAGGGGTAATGATAGGAACACCACCAACAATTTCTGTCCTGTAAGACACTTGTTTCTTTCCACCTGGGCTTTCAGCTTGACGATTTGCATTATCCATTTGACACAGAGGATCAGACTGCTTTGGTACCTGAAAGCAGAATATGATAATTAACATTAAAAGTTTTATGAAGACCTAAAAAAAAAAAAAAAGCCCTAATCATTATTCAAGCATTTTTAATTTGTCTT